CATGAATATGAACTTACTTTAATTTTTCATTACTAGTATTCTATTTGAAAGATTTTATTTTGTTTTATTTTCCGAATATTTTACCAATCAGATTTCTCACAAAATTTATTTAATGAACGTTTTATTGCATATCATTGATTAATCTTTTATGATGAGCTTACCAAACTTTCAAATAAAGATTTTAATAGAAAATTCAAATGATATTTTCATACTTCAGCAAATGAATATAAAGAGTGTTTATCAATGTAATGAACCAGAGAGAAATAGAATAACATAATAATATGAACAGAATAAAAAGAAAGAAAACAGAATTTGTCCAACTTGAAGAGAGAAAAAAAGAGTCAAAGATAATGAATAAGATGGTGATTATCCAGAATTCGTTTCATCTTTAGATCCTGCATGATGCTCATTTGTTGTTGAATTATTACTTATAATCATTGATGATGATGATACAACAGTTGATGAACCGGGTCTAGGAAAGAAGCGCACGAGGAAAATTGCGCACGGAAAGATGCGCACTAGGAAAGTTGCGCACGGATACTTTGCGCACGTGATATTGATTTCTCGTTTTCATATCAATAAAAGTCAATTGAACAAAATAGCAAAAATAATTTATTTCCGAAGTGATATTTTCATTGAGTCTCCATGACAACTTGCTGTATGAACACCAATGCGTTTTAAAATGTTCGCATGTGTTGTATTAGTCGTAAAATTACATGTGTATTCGATAATGACAATTAAATTTTTTGCGATTTTCACAACACCAGTAAGTCTTTTCGTCAGTTTGACGATCTCGAATACACGAATAGTCATCTAATACCATCAAAGGTCGACCTTTTGCAGAAGTAGTGAATTTGACAGAAGTAGTCATGTTCGAATAATATAAAAATTAAATTGTTCTGATTTTCTCTATTCATGCGTGTCCTTTTATTTGGGATATTTTTTTCAAAAATGAGCTTAGCTTGATTTGATTAAAGTATTGAAAGGCTTAAACGTCTATTAGTTACAATTTTAAAAGTTTTGAATTAGACCATGTTCCATTTTTGATTTATCTCAAGAATGAATATATTGAGCTTGAATTCAACAAAGCTAGATATTTTTGTTCTTTTCTTCACCTTTCTAATCATTGTTTGTGAACACCTAATAGTCTGATATTTTTCCGTCAATGCATCCGTGCGCTTCTTTCCGTGCGCAAGTTATTCGTGCGCAAGTTTCCGTGCGCAAATTTCCACGTGCGCATCTTTCCGGATCCCATTTATTCGATGTCTGTAAGGTATGATGATATTTTGATGATAATATTCAAAATTTGACGTTGACATTGTTGAAACATTTATTTGAATAGGAAAATTAGAATCTATTAATAAATTTTCAAACCGTTTATTAAGATTGAAGAATCCTTGATGAACATGATAAATATCAAGATATTGAAATATTTCATAAAAAATTTCATTTGGTAAATTTTCAAAAAGAGATCGAAATGAAATTCAAAAGATAAAAATTAGGTTTTTCGATAACTAACTTATTATTTTGATCGTGTAATTTTTGTCTTTTATTTCCATTATATAACCTTGAACGATATTTCGTTTCATGACGATAATACTGATCGAAAGATAATTTATTTTCAAACTATAACTATGAAAGAGAATAAATAAATACGTCGAATAATATTCTATCTTTGCGTCATCTATGTACAATGGAAGGATAAAAATACAAATATTTACATTTGAAAGACACGACTTTTCATCTCACAATACGATATATATGTAAGATTGTAAATTAAGAGTGTCTTCTCATTTGCAAACATAAAATCGAAATTTAATAACTTTTAAATTGAGATTTAAACTTTTTTTTTTTTATTGAAACGATTCAAATTGAAAACAATCTGAAGTTTTAATTTTTCGTTTTCTAAATTTTCAAAAATTTACTTATATTAATTTTAAAACAGTTTACTGTTTAAAAAAAAATTTCTTGAGAAATAAGTCAAAAATTTTAAATTTTCGTTGTTAAATTACTAGACATTTACTGAGAACAATTTTAATAAAACTGATATATTCAGTATTACAACTATCTGTAATTTATAGAGTTCGCTAGATATTGAGTTTGACTAGTTCAATAAAATAAGCTGTAATTTGCAGAGTGCGCTAAATATAGTACTGCTTGCTTTTTTAAATTTAATTAACTATATTTTATAGAGTTCACCAGACAACATAATTGTTACTATGAATGTCATGAACTATTTTTGAATTTGAACGCACCAGGCATTTATATACAAAACTGAAAGATACAAAAGATGATGTTTGAAAAAAGCCAGTTTTGAAACATGGATATTGATGAAAGTCTACACTTGACGAAAGCAGCCCGGTTCGGCCACATTCCATTCGGAATAAATATCAAATTGCCACAACAAATTATGATACAACCTCTGTAAAAACTGGTATCGTCTTTAAAACCATTGCTCGTGAATTATTAGTATTAGTTTATCAATAACAAAGAAAAAAGAAATCAGCTAGTCAATTCCAATTTTGTATTTCAATAAAAATTCTTCTTAATTATGTCCAAATGAAGGTCTTCATTCAATCAATACTAAAATCCTCTACAAATTGCAGCAAACCTAAGTAAAATAAAACATTATTTTACTTTAAGATCTTTTAAAAAAATCTACTTTCTATATGCGTGTTCAATAATCAAATTTTTAAAAGTAAATTTTAAATCAAATGAAATTCTAAAAATTTTAATTTATTTAACTTTATTTTTTTAATGTTCTCAAATGAGAGGTAGGCCTCATTTCTACTGAAAAACGTGATAATATTAACATGATTATATTTTAAATGATAATAGTACATCTATGATATTTGACATCTTACCTCATATGCAGAAAAGTTTTTATCCTTGTCAAAAATGCAATGAAAATTCGTCCTGGAAAACAGGATGACTGAGTGATAATGCCCTGCATTTCTATATTTAACTAACTGATCTATTTATTGTTGTTCGTAAAGTAAAAAAGAATGAAAATATTCTAAATATTGTTAATAAATTATTGAAATCTTACCGAAGAAAAAGAATTTCAAAACAAAGCTACTTGATCTTTCTACTTTAAATATTATGTCAAATCATTTCGAGTTATGTATAAAAAGTGTCTTAATCTCCTTGTTGATGATCAAGATTTTTTTCTTGACTACTATTGAAGCGTAATGAAAAATAATCTGAAAAAAAAAGTTTGATACTTGATTGAGAATGCATTCTAATTCTTTAGTGGTTCATTATCGAAATTCTGTAAAATTATTCTTTTTTTTGTCTTTCAAAAGTTTTTTTACTCTCATATATCATGAAATAAAATCAACAAAGCATACATTAATATGACTTATCAGTCGTTGTGAATCAAATACTACAGAAGAGTCCTTAATTCAACCATTATTTACTATAGAATTCTTGAGTAAAAATTCAAATAAACGAGAAAAAAAAATACTACTCCGATAATTGATGATAAAAGAAAGTTACAATTTATCTAGCTCTTTTATATATTGACTCAACATGTCGTTTTATGCTTATCCTTGAAACGAGTGTCTGCATACACACATACGTTTTTGGTCTTTTTAAAAAAATAAGAAAACGAAAGAAAAAGAAACCTAACCGCATTATATCATTCATACGACAAATATAACGTTAGTTCTTTTTTGTGATCATCATCGATCTGAAAAAGAAAGCATCTTGTGAAGTATTTCTATCCAAGTATATTTTAAATAGAAAACAAGAAATAAATGGGTTCATTAATTAAGGAATTATTTAAATGGCCATTAGCTGTACGCCTTCGAACAGCAGATAATGATGATGAACATGTTGATAGACTTAATCATCGTGTTACAGTTGGACTTATACTTATTGGTGTTGTTATAACATCAACAACATCATTTGTTTCAAATCGAATATCTTGTTGGTTACCAACTGAACTTAAACATTCGAGTTATTCAAAATATATAGAAAATTATTGTTGGATTAGTAATACATATTATATACATTCAAATGTAACTCCCCCACATTCAGATGATGATAGAAGGCGAGCTCAAATAGGTTTGTAAATATTTGATTTTGTATTTTTGAAAGAAAATGATTTCGTTGACAAAATACTTCAATTTTTATGATTTATAGATACATTTTGAATGAATAAATCATTTGTGTTGAAATTTACTTTTCATAACCTATCTAATTTATGAAACATCTTTGCAACTTTTTTGTTTCTTAAAAATTATAACTAAAACTTTTTGTACTTGTTGACTGTTTTACAGATACAAAAGTGAATTGGGTAGACATCGGAAAAATCTACAGTGAAATTAGCGGTGCATTAATAAATCTAACTTCTTTAAGCATAAAAAACAATCTGCATAGTGAAAAAAAAAAAACCTTCCCATTACCATAGCTTCCTAATACATTGATCAATTTAAATGATGATGTTTGAAAATGAATTTCTAGATTGTTTATCGGAGAAGTATCTTCGATTATCAAGCATTGTCTGACTTTAAATATTAAGTCAAAGAAAATTCGATGAGAAATTCTGTTCAAAGTTTTTCCTATTATTTGTGTGTGTGTGTGTTCTGTTATAAGATTATCCCAAGATTACAGCTGCACGGAAGCAAGTTTTTTTGGTTCCAGCCGTAGTCTCATTAAATTTGATCTGCTCGCGATTTCGGCTTAGAGAAAGCTATTTCAGAATTTATTCACATTCAGTCTAAAAAGATGTTAAGAGTAATTTTCTGAGAAAACCAGCAATCGGAGATGAAGTAATACTTCAGAATTTCCTGATATTTATCTATGTTGTAGATGATGATGAGCTTAGGCATCTCTGAAAATTTTCAGCTTGCTTCGATCAGTTTTTCTAAGACCATTGTTCAAACTACCGATGAAATTTTTAATAATAATTATTTTCTGATATTTTAATTCTTTTTATGAATTTTCTTCAAAAGAATAACTTTTATCTTTCTAAACGAGGGATTTTTTATTTTATACTCTTTTAATAATGTTTATTAGTGATTTCTACTACTACATACAAAATTTCAAAAATTTTCCATAATTAAATATAAGAGATATTGATGCCTTCCAATAGAGCTTTATTCTATCCGTTTTGACATTTTGTTAGCAGAATATCGGTCGAACGCATCTTATGTGGCAACAACAAAATGTCTTGATATTTTCATCAATGATAGAGCTCATAAAGTTTTATTGTCTAATATATTTAACATTTTTGGCGCATGCAAAATAAATCAATCACTCTCAACCAGAAATCGTCGCCTTCTGTTCTAGCTTGACTTCTTTTTTTTTTTTTGATTGTGAATGATATGATAATATAAAATTACTAAACCAGATTTCTGACATTTTGTAGTCTTAGCAGAAAAAAAATTGACTTGCATCAAAAATAAACCTTACTTCACCAGAAAACATATTCCCAATCTTGAAATAGTTTCGAGATGCATGATTGGGATAGAAGTATAGTGAAGTTTTGAAAAGAAATACTCTCATTTTTCGCAATTACAATCTGAAAATACTCACATCTTGATATTATAGTCTATGGAGGTTGCATCTCTCGAAACTTATCATCTTTTTATTTAACATTAAAAATGTCGAAGGTTTGGTTTAGCAATTTTATATTATCAGACTACTCACAATAAAAGAAAACGAGCTGAAAAAAGAGGAGACGATTTTTTGATTGAAAGTGACTGACTTTTTTTGCATGCACCAAAAATGTTGAATATATTAGACCATAGAACTTTATGAGCTCTATCATTGATGAAAATATCAAGACATTTTGTTGTTGTCATATAAAATGTCAAAAACCAGAAAAAAATTAACATTAAAAATTTCAGACATTACTCTACTATTGATGCATGACGGCAACTGATTTTCTCGGACACGCATTCATGAATACTTATGATTAATCAAAAGCTCTGACAGCATTAAATAAAAATATCAAATTGAAAGTCATTATTGATATATTCTCTTCCTTCATGAAAATGTTTTGTCTATCTTGTAACTGTTCGATATGATGCAGTGCTAGGTTCCAATTCTGTTATAAGTTTTATATGAATTGTCTTAGCATCAATCGAAGTCATTATTCATTTTTCAAGTTTTGCTTTTGTTGGAATTGAATTTTATTTGGAAGAATATTAGAACTAAATTCAAAATAGACTGATTATACATAATATATTCTTAAAACATACTCTTAAATGTTAATTGTTTTATAAAATTGCCAGTAACGTCACCCGAACTTTTGTTTAGACCTCAGTCGAAAATTATCAGCGATATTTTCAAGACAGATAGATCTCGATAAGTATAGCAAAAGTTGCCATTGACTCTAAATTCCTAGATACTTCCTTAAGGACGATATGAGGATTACAAAGGTAGTACTAAAAGTACTCACTAAGAATGCAGAGTCCTCATTTATATAGCATTAGACAGAAAAAAATCAAATATTTTTTTTTTTTTAAATTTGATTTTAACAAGCGAAAAAGGGGTCAAGCTCTCTTAAGAGTTGATTTATCTATTTGAAAGATATCTGTATGATTTATCATTTTCAAAGGTTATTATCAATGGGTACCGATTCTCTTATTATTAATGGCATTATTTTTTTATGCTCCTCGTTTATTTTGGCGTTCATTCAATGCTCATTGTAGTATTGATATTCAAAATTTAGTAAAAAAAAGTCAAATTTCAACAAATAATTCAACAAAAATAGCATCAGCAATGCTTCAGTATTATTGTGAAACATGTAAAAGTCGACGTTCAAAAAGTTCAATTAATATGCAAGCTTATGTTCGTCGAAATAAACATCGAGGAAATTATTTATTTTCTTTATATTTTTTAACGCGTTTAATGTATTTAATAAATTCTATTTTTCAATTATATTTACTCAATGCTTTACTTGGTCATCGTGGTAATGCATGGTTTCTTGATATTGATATAATGAAATCAATATTTCGTTATGGTAATCCACTTCTTGATTCACCTTATTTTCCTCGTGTTACATTATGTGATGTACCTATACGTGAAATAGCTATTATTCATCGTTATACACTTCAATGTGCTTTACCAATAAATATGTTAAATGAAAAAATATTTGTAGCATTATCATTTTGGTTTAGTTATTTAATTCTTCATAATATAATAAGTTTTATTATATTAATTATTCAACAATTTAAAAATCAACGAATTAAATATATCAAACGTTTAACAACATTTATTAACGGTAATAAACAAGATTATATTGAAAATTTTACTGTAAATTATTTAACATATGATGGTATTTTTTTACTACGTTTAATAAGTCATAATTCAAGTGAATTACAAGCAATGGAAATGATTAAAACAATGTTTGAAAATTTTAAAACAAAACAAGAAAATAAAATATTTGAATGAACTTTCGGTTTAGGTTTTTTTCTCTTCCTCTTTTTTTTTTTTTTTGATGCTCTTTGATAATGGTAAAACTAATTAAGTATACATCCGTTTTGGTATGTTTGCATGGAATAAGAATATAGCAATTTCCGATTTTGTCTAGTTGCATATCTGAAGATCACAGGTGCTAACACATTTTTCATTCTTCAATACATAAACCAAGTATTACAAAGGATATTATCGAAATGATATAGGTAAGATAACATGATATTGTGGATTAGTAGAGAACACAAAACACGAATTTATACATCAACATGCGAACATTTATTTTTATACGGAAATGATAAGCTAATACTACATATAAATATATTATCAATAGAAATTAAAGTAAAGAATAAGAATTACATATACTATATGATTCATACGTATTTCTGTGGTATAATGCATTTTAATGAATTAATCTTTTTCAATATTGTTTTTCTTTTTTATTAGAGTTAGCAAATATCTGAATGCCATAGTAAATATCTTATTCTTTTTATTTTTATTTTATTCTAAATCAATTTCCGTTCATATTGATTTTTACACATGAAATATCAATTAATTCAAATTTTGATATTGTCATAGAAACTATAGTAAAAAAAAAAAAAACATCAGACAATCGAAAAAATAATATGGTCATCTGTCATACTAATCTCTTCTATTTTTTGGTAAACTTTATGAAATGATTGAATGAAATTTTTCTGATTTTGTTTCGTAATTACTATCAACACCAAGAATATTGATAATGATAAACTCATATTTACACTCTCCGATTAGCAACAATCTGGAACGAATAGATTCAATAACATTAATTTGTGATGATCTAATGTAATACAAAAAAAAAAAAGATCGATCATTATCGATTATGGTAACATTTGCACCACATAGTATGAACTGTAGTAACAATGAACATATCATCGAGACATTGATTGTTGTAAAACTCTTCAAGCTTTGTCTTTCCTTTTTTTTTTTTTTACGATGATTACACATTTAATAAACAAAAGAAACGATATAACGATATTTATCTAAAAGAATATACTATGTAAACTCATTATTAAATGTCAAAAGAAAAAAAAACGACAAATTCATAAATCTTTTAATTAAATTGTCAGTGACAATATAATACAAAAATCTTTTTTTTTCAATAAGGTCTTATAGTTATTTGCAGAAAAGAATGTACTTGAATAGACATTTTTTTCTAGATTATTAATGGAAATTCGTCTTATTTTAGAAAACGACGTTAATCATATGCTATTTTAATATAATAATCAAAAAAGAAAACCCTAATACTCAACGTTTCTTTTTTTTTTTTCTCTTCTCGTCAAGGCAAATAAGAACAACAACATCATAGAAGTAATTGAGAAGGAAAAAAACGATGCGAAGCACGATAAATAATAAATGATGAATAGAAACACAAGAAGGAAAAACCCATATGAATTTGAACACACGATCACTACTTGTAGCCCAATAGAAACTTTCCTATGGGCGTTTTCGATGAAAAAAAAAACTTGGTTTTATTAGTAACGTTTTTTTTTTAAGGGGAGAAAAAAAAAGAGAAATGATCAATTTTCTTTTCTTCCTTCCTTCTCCTAACTGGACACTCCTTTTGTGTTCTCCTCTCTCCTTCTCTTGTTCATCACATTCACTACTTGGACACACACATATACATAAATATACATCGCACGGTTGGTTCCGTATAACAAAAAAAGAAACGAGAGTATCATTCTTTCCAATCGAAGACGATTGCATCATATACACATTGAGGATAATGATGACGGTAATTTGCTATACTTCTATATATTGAAGATTGTTTGAATTGAACGCGACATACACATGTACTACTCACTGATCATTTTGCTCTATTATCATCAATCCCTGCTGTTACATGCAACATCAGCTTCATCTTTATTATTTACGCTTAATAATGTTCGATATTCGTTATCTGATCGTGTTTTAACAATACCAAAGTTAGGTGCTTTACGTGGAATACATATAGATTATGATAATGAATATTATGAAAAATATAATCTTGTTAATGTTGAAGCATTTCTTGGTATACAATATGGTTTATATCATGGAAGATTTGAACCATCAAAAGAACGATTTGATTTACATCCAAATACAAAAGTCAACAAACAAATTGAATTTGGATCAGCTTGTTCACAATATATATGGAAAAATGAAAGTGAATTAAGTCGAATACGTACAAAAAAATTTGCTCAAGAATATTATCCAAAATTATTAAAATATATTATAAAACAAAATGAAGAACAATGTCTTTATATGAATATTTATCAACCTCAAATAAAAAATTTAAAAGGTACAAAGAAGAAAAAAAAAACCATGAAAGATTTCCGATTGATAACTAATGTGTATTATATAGTTACTGAGATAAGTAGTTTATTCTATTGGACAATGATTATATTGTCTAATGATGTGAAATAAATTTATGCTCAATGATCGATGGACCCGACATCTCATCGACCAGTAATATATGATCACATTAACCAGACACAGTGAAGAAAGATGACATTGTTGACACACGTTGGATCTTTTGTATGCATATTTAATGATACAGTTCCATTAAGTAGAACATCTCGATCTCAAATGCATTGATGATAGTGTTGACATGAGAGAAAGTTCGTACTAATCCCGTAAGACATTCAACTCAAAATAAAATACAAAAGAAAGATATTCAATCTCTGTTGATGACAAGCTGAATATTATATATTTAATCTCATGAAAATTTATATTCAATAACTTTCTCTTTTTTTTGTTTTTTTTTTAGAACGTCTTCCTGTACTTCTTTTTATTCATGGTGATGGTTATGATATGAGTACGGGTGCAGCATTCGATGGAGCTATATTTGCTAGTTATACTAAAACAATAGTTGTTACAATCAACTATCGACTGGGTCCATTTGGTAAGAATCACAAAAAAAGAAAGAAAAGTACTGATCATCATCTAATTTTCTATTTTCTCCTTGGATGAGTAACAATTAAGCATATCAATAGTTGTAGTGGGACTTGATCAAGGTTCTATCATTTCCTGTATATATCGTTTGATTAGTGATTGCCATTTCCGCTATAAAATGCTCTAGACTAGTCTCGTTCAGCGGGTGGCAATTATAGTTAATTAACTCACATTTGTCCCTCACCATGCAAGCAGTGTCTCATATTTTTTCAGTCTATTAGAAACAGTTATTCAACTGGATGAATGAATATGTCTATGATGATGGATGAATGAAGAGAAAAAAAAAAACTTTACTTGAGAATTAAATGTAAATGAGAATAGATCAAATTTATATGCATAAATATTCAATCGTTCTTCTTTTGTTATTATACAAAGAAACCTTCAAATGATTTATTTATTTTATTAATTGAAATTGAAACAATTTCAATTGAATATGAACATTCAATGATGTAACTTCATATGTGTCTCATCATAATTTTCCTATATCCGGATTGATATGTATGTTTATATATATAGTCATAAGAGAGTAATGAAGAAGCATAATCGAATATAAGCTTAAGGCAAAAAGATTCATTAATCAAACGTTATTCCGTTTCTTTCTCTTTTTTGGTTCTTGAAAAGTCAAGAAAGTTGATAAATTAACATTCAGAAACTAAACAATCGAAAGAAAAAAAAAATTATCATTTGTGTAGAATAACATTCAATTACGGGTAACTTATAACGTTCATCAAGAAAAAAAAAAATCAATTAGGATTTTCTTTTTTTCCCATTTTTGTTTTGTTATGACGAGTTTGTAGAAAAAAATCTATAGCGTGACTTCACACTCAACAAAAAAAAAAAAGATTTTCTTTGCATGCAATCAAGTTAATAATTATCATCAATTATGATTACTTCTATTCATTGACTAAACTAAATGATGAAAAATAGACAACGAATTCTATTTTATTGCTATACTACTTGACAAGTAGACGATAAGAATGTTTACATGCCCTCGATCACTCGTCTGATGTTGATCTGTTAACTGCTCACAGCGGTTGTTCACACATTTTAATAAAGAAAAAAAAAAAGAAAAGAAATGAGCTTGTTGTTTGATGTTTAACTGACCACCTTCTGATTTTGTAAATATTCTTGTGAAATATGATCTTTTATATGTTAAATCTATACTATTGATATTACATAAATTAAATATTTTAAAGAATTATTAATTTTTTTTTTTTTTATTCAATAGGATTTCTTTATATATCAAATGAAAATAAAGGTGATTATGCATTACAAGATATATATACAGCTTTACATTGGCTCAAAAATTATGTGACAAATTTTAATGGAGATCCTGATCGTATTACATTATATGGAACAGGATCAGGAGCTGTATTAGCTAGTCTTGTTGTTATGCTTGAAACTGTTAATGGTTTGTATATTTATATAAAGACTTATAGCCAAGGATTTTTTGTTTCACTTATTATTGAATAGAAAATATAGAAATATTGTTAAAAAAAACATTTATATTAGAGGCGATACATGGGAAATATTTGTTAGGAGAAGCAATTGTAAGATGTCTGCTATTTGAAATTTGAGTTTATTGTTAAAAAAGAATTTTTTTTTCCCGATATGATAGCAAAATACCATAAATACGAATTTGTATTCTAAGATTTTAAGTGATATAAATGTGACCTAGAGAAATTCGATACATAATGTTATACAAATAGAAACACTAAGCAAATGAATATGTTATTCATTACTTGAACTGATAGAATCATACATCGGTACATATAGAGAAGCTAGATATGCACATCATGCAAACTGCAAGTAAGATTTAGATATTTCTAGAAAAGAAACCTAATGATGAACAGAAGTTTTGTTTTATAAATTTATTTTTGAATTCAATTGCTGAGTTCTGTCGAATATTCTGACCTATGCTTCTCCTAAGGACCGATATATGGCACAACTTATTTTTTAGTATACTGTTCGATGCGGATTTTTGCGCTAATTCTCCACATGATATATGTTTT